AAAATAATCTTCAAAAAGAGTAACAAAGTTGGAGAACTTACACTTACCAATTTCAAAACTTACTATAAAACTACAGTAATCTTAGAAGCATATACATAGAAATCATTGAAACATTTTTTCTTTGAATCCAACTTCTTTTTTTTTTTAATTTCTTTTCAGTGTACCAGAGTTCATTGTTTATGTACCACACCCAGTGTTCCATGCAACACATGCCCTCCACAATATCCACCACCAGGCTCACCCAACCTCCCACCCCCCACCCCTTCAAAACCCTCAGATTGTTTTTCAGAGTCCATAGTCTCTCATGGTTCGTCTCACCCTCCAATTTCCCCCAACTCCCTTCTCTCCATTTCCCTATGTCCTCCGTGTTATTTCTTATGCTCCACAAATAAGTGAGACCATATGATAATTGACTGCATAAATTATTTCACTCAGCATAATCTCTTCCAGTCCCGCCCATGTTGATACAAAAGTTGGGTATTCATCCTTTCTGATGGAGGCATAATACTCCATAGTGTATATGGACCACATCTCCCTTACCCACTCATCTGTTGAAGGGCATCTTGGTTCTTTCCACAGATTGGCGACCATGGCCATTGCTGCTATAAACATTGGGGTACAGAAAAAGTATTTCAATGATTTCTATGTATACGCTTCTAAGAGCTGCAGGGCCAATGGCTACTTAAATTCTCAGACTATATATTATTGTGCCCCTGTTACCTTATGTTAGTCTCTCGCATTGAAATATAAACTCCACAAGTTTTTGGTTCATTATCCTATTCTTTTTGTCTATCATAGAGTAGAAACTCAATATAATTTGGCCAAATCCTGGCCCAGTAAGAGTATATCTTTACTTCAGACATGTAATTCATGTCTCAGACTCAGACATATAATTAATTAAAATATATATGGATATAATATCTTGAATGTTTTTTTTTTACATTATTATTGGAGATAGGGGGATGATTTTTATAAAAACTACTTTAAAATTCAGAATTCTTACAGAAATACGGGGGGTTTAAGCTTAGACTTAACCAAGAATGTGATATAGCTTGATATATTTTTAAACCATTCTTGGTATGATTTGGTAATTTCTACATTATGAATTTTTAGAAAAAATTATAATACACGAATGTATGTATAGTAAGCATGTTGAAAGAAATTGTAATAATCCTTACTAACTAGGAAAAGCTATATTGATGTACTTTAGTAATTTTGAAAAAAGAATATGAGCTATATAATTTTAGCAATAATTTATTAGCAAACATAATCAAGCTTTTTCATCTGTAGCTTACCTATTTCTGAAGAAGAGTTTTCTCAGATACTATGGCTTGATACATTATAAGCACATTATAAAAGTTAGGCTATCTTACTGTTCTCTCTAAAAATTAAATGTCTTTATTTTGATTAAGTTGAACTTAGAGAAACTGCATTATTCTCCAAGATAAGTAATAAAATGAAGTAGGCCATGCTTTTCATTGGTTTCCTCAAAAGTTACTAATTTCCAATTTGTGAAGAACCCTCCTAAATTGCAGCTCATATAATAAAGACACCGTATTTTGAGATCAATGACTTAACAAGAGAATGAATTATTAAAAAATGCAACCCCCCCCACAAAACTACAGGAATCAAGACTTGTGGAAATGGCATAAAAATACACAGATTAATGGAATAGAATTCAGACTACAGAAATAAACCCTTATATTTATGGTCAATTAATTTTTAACAAGGGTGCCAAGATAAATTTATGGGGAAATAATAGTCTTGTCAACAAATGGTACTGATACATAGTTGATATCAACATGCAAAACAATGGAATTGGACCCCCTACCTCTCACCATATATAAAAAAAAACTAACTCAAAATGGATCAAACACCTAAACATAAGAGAAGAAGCTACAAAAAATTTAAAAGAAAATATAAAAATTTGTGACTTTGAGTTAGAAAAGCGTTCTTAGATACAATACTAAAAGTACAAGTGAATAAATAATAAATAAATTGAACTTCCTCAAAATTAAAAACTTTTGTGTTTCATAGTATACCATAAAGAAAGTGAAAAGTGGCAGCTTCTTCTGGGTGGAGTGGAGCAGCAATGGTTCCTTTTGCATAAGGGAGCCATAGCAGAACTGGCTAGTTTTGGCAGGTCAGCAACAGCAGCTCCTTGTGTTGAAGATCAGTGCATTAGTGACTTCTACTTTGGGAGAACACAGAGGTGGTGGCTCCTAGTGGGGGAATGGGACATAAATGGCTCCTTCTTGGGGGGTTGGAGCTGTTGGTGTCTACTTCTGTGGGAAAAGAGTGTCTGTGGCCTTTGGGTGGGTAATTAAAGCAGTTTCTTCCTGGTGGGATATACGGAGCACTAGCAACTCCTTCTGGGGTGGCACAGAGAAAAACAATGGCTTATTCTCCTGGAAAATGCAACACTGATGGTTCTTTCCACAGAGGCAACGAGCAGAAGGACAGCAGTTTTTGTTGTGGGTGTGGGGCATGGAATGGTAGCAACTTCTTATTGGGAGGATGCTTTGTTGGTGTCTTCTAAGGCAGTATAGCAGCAGCAGCTCCTTCCCTGAGGAAACACAGCAGCAATGACTCCTTGTGGAGCTGGAGGCAAATAACCTATGACTCATTGGGTAGAGGGAAGACTGACAGTGGCTCCTTAGTAGCTCCTTCTTGGGGGGGGCAAGATAAGCTTTGAGGGGGCAGATATTGTGTTGGGGCAAAGTAGTTAGGATTCTTGCTTGTGGAAGTGGCAGAAGGGCATGGACCCCAGGCAACACAGTCACTGCTGCTAGTGCCAAGAAAGACTCTCTGGTGGTGGTGGTGAGGGATGCTGTGGTCCACCTTCCTTTCTTTTCCCCCATGTGTGTCCCTCCTTGATACTAGCTGCACCAGACAGGGATGATATAGGTAAGATACTTCCTACAATTTTTGGCCATGTTCAGGTTTTGGCCCTGCTGGATTGTTACAATTTCTTCATTACATTCTAAAGCTCTCAGAGCTATTTTTGTGGGTATATAGTTGTTTATTCCTTATTTTCCTTATTTTTGTTGTTATTATGGGAAGAAGTGAGCTTTAAAACCTCCTTAGTCTACCAATTTGCTGACATCTATCCTGTATAATTGAATTTGTATATAATACTAAAAATGAGCAAATCCACAGAGACATAAAGTAGGTTAGTGGTTGTCTGGGTCTTGGGTGAGTGGGTGATTAGAGAATAATGGCTAAAGAGTGAAGATAATTTTTTTTCTTTTTTTAAATGGTTATTTTCTTTTTTTTCTTTTATTTTTTATAAACATATAATATATTTTTATCCCCAGGGGTACAGGTCTGTGAATCGCCAGGTTTACACACTTCACAGCACTAACCTTAGCACATACCTTCCCCAATGTCCATAACCCCACCCTCTCCCGATCTTTCTCATTTAAGAATCTTTCAAAAATTGATTGTGGTGATGCTATAAAATCCTATGAATATACTAAAGACCATAGAATTGTACACTTTAAATGGGTGAGTTATAGATATGCAAATTATATCTCAATGAAACTTATAAAAATTAATATGTCATCAGTTAGAAGGTGGATTGGAGAGGAGAAAACTTGGAGGCAGAGAAACATGTTAGGGGGTTTTGTAATAGTCCATTTGAGAAAATAATGGTCTATACTATGACAGTAATATTGGGAAATGGAAGGAGGATAACATGGCAATACAATGCATTGTAGAGTTATAAGCAATAGAACTTACTATTGGTTGCATGTGGAGTGTGTAAAGGTGGGAAGACAAAGAAGACTAAAGTTTTGAATCTGGGTAAGTAGGAGGGTTTTGGTCTTATTACTAGATACTGGAAGCATAGATTAAGTAAACAGGTTAGTTTTTCAAAGGAAGGGGGTGAATTCAGGACAATTTTACTTTTTTTTATGTGTTGTTAGGACCATCTTTAAACAATGTCCAGTATCTAATTTAAAAATTTCAGATTGGAGTCGTCTGTACCCCAATGTTTATAGCAGCAATGGCCATGGTCGCCAAACTGTGGAAAGAACCAAAATGCCCTTCAATGGATGAATGGATAAGGAAGATGTGGTCCATATACACTATGGAGTATTATGCCTCCATCAAAAAGGATGAATACCCAACTTTTGTAGCAACATGGACGGGACTGGAAGAGATTATGCTGAGTGAAATAAGTCAAGCAGAGAGAGTCAATTATCATATGGTTTCACTTAATTGTGGAGCATAACAAATAGCATGGAAGACAAGGGGAGATGGAGAGGAGAAGGGAGTTGAGGGAAATTGGAAGGGGAGGTGAACCATGAGAGACTATGGACTCTGAAAAACAATCTGAGGATTTTGAAGGGGCGGGGGTTGGGAGGTTGGGGGATCCAGGTGGTGGGTATTGAGAGGGCACAGATTGAATGGAGCACTGGGTGTGGTGCAAAAATAATGAATACTGTTACGCTGAAAAAATTAAAAAATTAAAAAATAAAATAAAATAAAATTTCAGATTGGAGCTTAATGGCAAAGGAGGTTTGGCTAAGTATTTATGAGTAACCAGTAAATAGATGATAATTGACACCAGAAATTAGCTAAAAGCTTCCATAGAGAAAATATTGAGAAAGGAAGAAGGGAACTAGAGACAGAGCCTTGTGGGAAATAGCTGAATATAAGAAGCAGCAGTAGTTAACAGGTTAACTAAGGAGAACAAAGCAGAGACAAAAAAGGAAGGAAGGAGTATATTATAAACAGAGAGAACAGTATCAGAACTGCTTTACCAGAGGATTGGACATGAGCTTTTAAAGATAAGGATAGTAGAAGAGAGACTAAGGGTGTCTCAGGAGGGAGAAAAACAAAGTCACAAAAATAAAATGGAAACTGGTGCAGAAATAATAGAAAAAAAAAAAGATCTTAATAGTCCTGAGACTCACCCACCACAGCCTCTTGGGGGACCTGAGAGTTGGAGAAAAAAAATGACGTGGCCCAACTGGAATCCCTATTACCCTTCCTAGGTGAGGTTCTCACTTACCAATGGAACATCCCAGAAAGATCTGGCCCAGGGCCCAATGATTCAGCTTGTGTTTCCTGGATCTATTATTCTGCAGTGGATCCCATCAAGGTAAAGACAATATTGGTTTCCTGGAGGTGAGTTTCATAAATGGGTAGAGCCCAGCTCTGAAATACTGGAATCCAGAGTTTGAGGAAAATTCCTCAAATATGAGGCTTATTTTAATAGACAGAAAGAGAGATGAAGAGAATAGGTAGCACCACATATTTGTCCTAAGGTTTTTTTTTTTTTCCTTTGTTTCTTTGTTTCTTTCTTTTTTTTTTCTTTTTCTTTTCTTTTTTTTTTTTTTTGGATCATAAAGTCTATATGCTCTCATTCAAAAATCCTAGGATTGTTGTCAAGGGATTCAAATTTTAGCCCCAAATTAGGTTCACTCTTGCCTTTGGGGTGACTTTAGGTGAGTCATTATCTTCCTGTTTCCTCATCTGGAAAATGAGTTTGTCTATCTAGCCAACCATTCATAGTCAGCTGAGAGCAATCACTTATTGAGAGACATTTTAAGTATTTGGTGCTTTGGGTGATAAAAATGTAAAGATATAGATAGATCAATAGATTGATAGATAGATATAGATCTACTATCTATCGATCTATCTATCCATTGATAGATAGATCTATTTATCTATAGATAGATAGATAAAGATCTACTATCTATCTATAGATAGATAGTAGATCTATAGATAGATAGATAGATAGATAGATAGCAGCTCCTTAAAAACCATATGAAAGAAAATACTATGGGGGTCCATGAGAGAGTGATTACTTCTGCTTGGAGGAGGAGATGATGGAAGGGAACCTGGAGAAGGCACTACAATGGAAAGTGTGTGTAATTTAAACCTTGAAATCTAAATAGAAGTATATCATAATTTAAGGTGTATGGCAGAGAAGAGGGCATTACAGGAAAAAAAAAAAAAGAAATGAAAAAGAAAGTGTAAGGAAAAGTACTGGGTAGTGAAAGTGCCTTGTGGGTTTGGTGATCAATGGATAGACCAGCTTAGCTAAAGTATTGGTTGGATAGTACACTTAACGTGTGGTCCAAGATGATTCTGAGAATGAATTAAGGTACATAGCAGGGGTGCTTATAAATGTAAGATGTTATGATAAAGTGCTGAGCACAGTAGAACTGGATGTCAGTCTTGCACCCTGTAGAGCACTGCTACCCAGGAACAACTCCTTTTTGTTTACTGTCACCTCCTTTTTCCCCTTCTCAGGACATGTATAGTGGCCTGATTGGACCTTTGGCCATCTGCCAAAAGGGCACCCTGGAACCCTATGGAGGCCGGAATGACATGGACCGAGAATTTGCCTTGCTATTCTTGATCTTTGATGAGAACCAGTCTTGGTATCTGGAGGAGAATGTAGCAATCCATGGGCCCCAGGAGCCAGGCCATGTTAACCTACAGGATGAGACTTTTCTGGAGAGCAATAAAATGCATGGTCTGTAGAAAATAACCTATCCCTTTTCCAAAGAACTCCTCACTAGTTGCATGAAGATATAAGATAGGCCCATCACTACCTAAGGGAGCATAACTCTTGAAAGGATGGGAAGGATTATAGGAAGGTGTTAAGTGGACAGATTGGAAGAACTGTCTCCTACTATTGTGCATTTACATACACAAAGTGGATAAGCAGTCCACACTAGATCAGGTGCCCATAAAGCAAGAGCCTGAGAGACACTATAAAGTTGTAGTGGCACCAGCATATTTTAACACACTAGAAAAAGAAGATGGAAATTTATGACCCTCAATATACCTGGTGAATTGGCTTCATTAGGGCCCCTCTGCTTCAAAATCATGGGTTTAGTTTTTCAATATTATCTTATTTCTTTGTCACTCTGGATCTGGGATCTACTTTCTCAATAGATTCCAATATAGATGAATGAAATACAGCTTGTCTTTTAGTCTACTTTCAAAACAAAGTCTCAATTTACAGATCAAAGAATTGGAGAAGAGAGCCTTAGAGTATAGAGTGCTGGATTCATACTACATACAATGAAGAGCTTTTTGATGTTTGGGTGAATTTTGGAAGGAAATTGTACATCCAAGCCTTCCTTTGTTTCAGAGATCTGTGTATCATTTCACAAACAAGAGAAAATCTCAGAGTAAGAATTTAAATACATTGAAATGTAAGAAGTAATTTCTCACCATCCTTTCTAGTGCAGCATTTCTTTGACCTGACTTGAGGATAAGGTGCAGCTTTGATAGTGACTCCAATAGAACTCAAAATCAGTATCTCATTGTCACATGGATTTTAGCTATTTACACTTGATGGAGATATAAGTGATTCACATTATAATAGAGGAGTCACAAAATGAACAATGTGAACTTTTTAGCTCTTGTCAAATCAGAAAAAATAATTTACCCAGGAGAAAAGGGGAATTAGAACTTGTTAGTGTCCATTTGTTTGGTTAATCCCCATTTCTATCTATTTACATGTTCATTCATCTAAACTCTTCAGGTATCAGTCCATCTGTTTATTTATTGGGTACTTGTTGAGCTCTTTATGAATGCTGGTACTAGAGATAAGAAGATAATGTTGGGGTCTGAGGGAAAATAAATAATATATTCTTCCCTTCTCTTCCACATTCCTGAAGCAGTTAAAATTAAAACAACAAAAAAAAGATAGGGATTCTTAAGATCAAGTGTGAGCCTATTAAAAAGGCTAATTGGAAAACTAAATTTATTTCTGAAACTAAATGACTTGCTAATACCACCTCTGCAGTGGATCGATTTTCTACCCCGGCATTGACATAAATAAACAACAATACCCTTCCCTTTGCAGGGGCAGAATTTTCTCTATAATGGCATAGTAAATTCATTTGCATTCCTTTCTGTGGTCAGACTGATTCAAGAGACAGAAGATTCAAGAGACAGAAGATTCAGAGGGGGTGGAGTTGATCATTTTAATTTCTTTTTTCACATTCACGATTAGTTGGGGTAAATACAGAGACAGTCTATAAATTCTCCTTCCATTATACAGTACAGTAAAAATTACTTCCCCTCCATGAGAACACAAGGGGTACAGAAATGTGTCCTGGACATAGTCCTGACAATGTGAGTCAACATGGCTATGGGTAATTTGTTGTCTTTAGAGCATAGGATATGGCCTGGGAAGAAACAGATAATGAGGCCCATGCATTAATATCATTATTAAGTCCAAGAACATGACAAATCCTTTTTATTTAGCATATATTATAGGTTCAGGTGTCTCCTGGGTGCTCTGAAGAATGCAAGGAATCTATATTAGTATAGTACATATATTCATTTCCTGCTTACAAGGAGCCTATATTCTAGTTGGGGATATAAGCTTCCACAAATTAAAAGATAAGTGTATAAGGGAGTTTCTGGTGAGTTCCAAATAGTGGTACAAACAATATTGTAGGAGTTCAGAGGTAGAAGGAGGTGAAAGGAATGAGAAGTACTAGAAGAAGTAGATCAAGAAAGTGTTCTTGGATAAGGTGAAATTTTGACTGGGCTTTGAAAAGATGGATGAAAGGAGGCAGGATTTCTAGGGGTAAAGATCAGCAGCATGAGCAAGGACACAAAGAACATGCATATGGGAACATATGGGAAATAGTGAATAAAACACCCTAATTGGAATAAATGTTTTAGGTCAGAGATGAGAAGGGGGAGGTGGTTTAGGCTGATATTTTGAAGGACCTTGTTGGCTGAACTAAGGAGCCATGGTCTTCATCTTTTAGGCAGGAGAGAGCTATTATAGTATTTTAAGCAGTAGAATGACATGGTCAGATTAGTTATTTAGAAAGATGACTCCAATAAGACCAATGTGTAAGATGAACTGAAGGAAACAAATAGAATAGAGATTACAGAAGTTAAGAAGCTATTGCTGTGGGTGTTATACACAAATAATGAATCATGGAACACTATATCAAAAACTAATGATGTGCTATATGGTGACAAACATAACATTGAAAAGAAGCTATTGCTATCTTCAGTCATGATAGGGATTAGCCCTAAGGCAGTGGCAATGGGAAATGAAAATGAGAGAAATGAGACTTTCTTTTTTACAGCCATTAATGGAAAGCTCTACAGCAACCTCAGGGGTCTTACCATGTACCAAGGGGAACGAGTAGCCTGGTACATGCTGGCCATGGGCCAAGATATTGACCTACATACAGTCCACTTCCATGCAGAGAGCTTCCTATATCGGGTGAGTGAGAAAAGCACTGAGTACCTCAAGAATGATTAGAGGAATGCTTTGGTAGTCATTGAGGAAGAAGGGAACAACTTCTTAAGGAGCAAGATATTAGTTGAAAGAGGAGAGGTCTTGTACATGGAGAATTGAGCTGGGAATTCTAGTTTGGCTGTATATTCCAGGATCAGTCACTTCCCTCTAGTCCTGAGCTTTCCCTTCTTGTATAGAAGAAATGAGTAGCTTGTTTATGGTGTAAGTAGGTTGAAGAAATCAGTGTAATTGGATATCAGACAAGGACTAGAGAGATAGTGAACAATGGTCCTAAGAGCAAGAAATTTCAGAGTGATATATCAGAATCTATGAAAGTTCTTAATCCATTTTAAAAAAATTTCAATTCAGGAACTACATGAAACAACATGCAGGTTTTGAAAGAAAAGGAGATTTTGTCTTAAGGAAAGGGAGCAGTGTTGAAGACACTGGTATAAAATTAAAGATAAAGAAGTGTGATGAAGGTGATAGCATAGAGAGTAAATTAAATTGAGTTCAATTTCTGAAGGAAATATGTGGTTCTTTCAGGGAGTCAATGCTTAAGCCAAATTTCCCAGCCTGCTGAAAAGTATGAAGATACTAGTCTTAGCCCCCAGAGGAAGCTGGAATTTCTTTTAATTTGTGACACTTTAAGAAAAAGTAGGAAGAGAGGGTCTTCTCTGTTGATTCAGTTTGTGTGGGTGGGCTTATTGGGAAGATGGATAAGTTGGACTCTTTAAGCTGCACTCTGATCTATGAATCTTGGAACCCCATGTCCCTGATTGGGACATCCAAGCTTTTTAGCTCCTATAAGCTCTGAAATTATATCTTTACCCTTCATTTCCTCTTCCCCACCTCCAATCTTTATTGTAGAATGGAGAGAGCTACCGGGCAGATGTGGTGGATCTGTTCCCAGGAACCTTTGAGGTTGTGGAGATGGTAGCCAGCAACCCCGGGACATGGCTGATGCACTGCCATGTTTCTGATCATGTCCATGCTGGTATGGAGACCCTCTTTACTGTCTTGTCCCAAAGAGGTAAGCTGTAACTTCCCAATATTGGAAATCTTTAAACACTTTATGTAGCCTACTGGAACCAGTTAATCCCTAGAAATCCCTTGCACCTGTCTTTCTGATCCTGGAAGAACCAGGACTTAAGACAGAACATATCCCATTCAAGTGTTCTCTCAACTAATATTGCTCATTCTCCATTGGACCCTTGTTCCTGCATCCTCCTGATTACTTTGACATCTATTGATTTCACATTGGTTGACCCAGCCTGGAACTTGTAGGCTCAATGCATTGATGCTTACCATAGATATGCTTCCTTTGAAATACATTTCATTTGAATATAAATTTATTATTTTAAGAGTCATTAGAGGTGCTATTTCAAGAAATCTTGCAACTAAGTCCTTTAAAAAAAAGAAGAAATAATTCTAATAGTCACCTCTTAATTGATTTGTGGGGCTTGTGAAAAATTTATTTCTGTCTTGGAACAATTTGGTCTAAAGCTAGATGGAGATATTGGCCATCAATTACAGTTTACCCCAAAAAGAGATGCTACCAAGAATGAAAAAAAAAAAAAAGGTTTTGTCTTATATTTTTATATGGAGAGTGAATTGCTGGGGTAATTTCTTTACCAATCAATTGTTGTTCATCACCAGGGACATAGAAGTTTAGGCTTCCATGTATCTTTGAGTCCTTAACTGCTTAAGAGCCTCTTGACCTGAATCTATGATTTCCATCCATTGGCTCTCTGTCAGTGGAAACAGAAAGTTTGAAAATGTCTTTGGGCATTCAAACAAGCTTAGCAAACCAGGGTAGAGAATACAACTCTGCTATTTACCTCCAGGGAAAGAGAAATTGTCCATTATGATAGCCTGTATCTTTGAAAAGTTTTATTCTTTAGTAAACCATATTGTTAGAATGTGGCTTCAACTCTAGTACTACTACTTCTACTACTACTCTAGTACTATTCTTTACTACCCAGATAGGTCCACAGAATTCTTTGTTGTATTTTAGCAGTCCTTAGAACCAAAGTCAAGTGATGAATTTATTTTTCATCAAGATGCTATAGATTCAGAGCACCTCAATGGCTCAGTCAGTTAAGTATTTCCTTTGGCTCAGGTTGTGTTGTTTTCCCAAGGACCCAGGATCAAGCCCCATATGGGGTTCCCTGCTCATCAGGGAGTTTGCTTTTCCTCCTCCCTCTGTCTCTTTCCCCTCACTCATCATTTCTCTCTCTCAAATGAATAAATAAAATCCTTCTAAAAAGGTGATATAGATTGAAGACAACAGGTTTTATCTGTCTATGGTGAGTTATCCAAAATCTGGACCATTTAATAGACAACAGACTATCACAATACATATCACCAATGAGTAAGGATAGCTCATATCTCTGACAATAAGCCAACCCATAAAGCTCACCTATTTGCTTTTTTGTTTGTTTATACCTCACGATAGTCTAATTCAATATTGCTCCAACTACATATGTGAAAACTGGCCAACTATAGTTGAAGACAGATAGGGAAGAAAGGACTAATTGTTGAAACAAGGTTCCTAATGAGGAAACAGGGGATGAACACTGGAGCTAAAATGAAAAATTAGACTGGAGTAAGTTTTTGTTTCTTTGTTTACTAAAAGGAGAGAAAAAAAAAGAAAATGAACAATGTCTTGTCAGAAAGAATATGTTTTATGATCTCTGCTTCATTTGTGAGAGAGGAGACAGAGTCATCTGCTGAGTGTGAAAGGTGGTTGGTAAGATAAGGAACTTCAAGAGAGTGGACTAAGGTTTTAAATAACCACTCCAAGAGAAGGGAAAACAAAGTTAATGCTGAGTGATGGAAAATAAATTGATTATTGGCAGGCATCACTGAGGGTCTAAAGTTGGACACAAAGAATACTGGTATTTACAATTACCTGATTTTTCTCCACCAATATTCAGCAAGTCAGACAAAATACAGGGAAAACATAGTTACTATGTTTTTGGTAAATGATTATAGTACTTCTGGTAAATTAGTAGTTGAAGTGATAGACCATAAAGTATAGATAGACCAGGAAAGGGGGGGGGGAGACAGGATGAAGCTAATAGTTTTGGGGAAAAAATGGAAGGATCTAGGAACTAGAGATCTTTATGAAGTAAGGATAGCAGGCTAAATAGAATAAGTAGCATTCAAACGCTGAAAGAACAGGAGGATGTTATTAGATTTTATATTTCTGAGATGGAGCAGTTCCAAATAACAAGTCCAATGTGACCATGGAAGGTGTTGATAGAGAAGAGTAGATGTAAAATTTGGAGTTAAAGGTCCAGAAACTGTGAAACTTGAGTGGTGAATGGTGGGAACTAAGGAAGAGGAAGACTGAGCCAGGTACCAAATTTATTCCATGAATGAAAATAACTACCAAGTAACAGTGACAAAAAATGGTTGTGGGTTTTCTAGACAAATAATATAAGCTTTAAACAAGATAGATATATACCACAAAAAAGGAGGAACAATTATCTCAAAGCAGTATTGAGAGGATATAAAGGAACATAGTTCTCAGAGAAGATCTCAGCCTCATTAAAGCCAGAAGAGGAAGCAGTGTCCCGAGAAGAGTTTGAATATGTAGGGATGTGCTTTTGACAAAGAACAGACATTTCCTGAAAGGAGAGTATGAAAGGGTGACAAAACAAGAATGTGGATGGGTAGTACCAATAAATATGTACATAATAGCAGAGGAGTGACTTTCCTTTTGGACTCCTAAGCCCATGTTTTTGCTTATATTTTTGTCACTACTCAAAATCAAATCCATACACCAATATTGACTTTGAGCATAAGATAGTTAATTTCAGGTGCCTTCATTTTGCTCAGAATACCACAGAGAAATTCCTCTAACCAATGCCAATGCCCACAGCAAACCTGTGGATTGGTAGGAATAATAAAACTAATTAATTTCTTTTTTTCTTTTTCCAGAACACATAAGCACTATTACCACCATTACCAAAGAGACTGGAAATGGTAAGAAGAATAACAAATAAACTGGATAGTTACATGTAGTACGTACTTGGTGTAGTGCCCCTGGAAGATGAGATTCACTGACCAAAAGGTGGACTATAATACTCTCAGGAGGCATTATGAGATTTATGTAACATTTCAAAAGCCAGGAACCTAAGGTTCAACTTCTCTAAGCAGATTTATTATCTCTGGCCCCCACTCCCAGCTTCCTAAGTTGAGGAAAACAGCCTCATCTCCAGTTGAAGGTTATCTTAGCCTCCCACCTAATGTGTGAGGGGAAAGAAAATTCAGGGTTTCTCTGGGTTGGACATGAAGGAGCTATGACACAGACTTAAGGTACTCATATAAACAGTATGAAACTAGTACAAATACCATCATACAGTCTGCTACAGTCTGCTTCAGCCATTTTTATTCTTGTATCTATGGAATACCAAATTGTTGACTCTCTGGAAGCAGCCATTTCTGCCCTTCAAAAAAAAAAAAAAAGTGGAACTTCTTGTCCTACCTAAACTAGGTCCAGATAGTTCTTTCACTCTCTCCCACACCATTTGAACCTGGACTGAGAAAGACTCAGAAAGTTATGAGCGCTAGTAGGAATGTTAGAGATCATCAGTTTAGTTTGGTGGTTTTTTTTTTCAGTTATGTTTGGAAAAGTCCTAATAATCTCCCTAAGTAACTTATAAACTGTCAACCAGGGAACTATGGTATGTCCTGGCGTGATTGGGGTAAGGTAAAGTGAGGCTGAGAGAATGGAATGTCATACATATATATTTGTGTATTTGTATATATACATATATATTTGTGTGTATATACATATTTTATGTGTATATTTGGACATACATAATACATACTTCTATGTACATATATATTTATAAGTTCTTCTTAGAAAAATTCCACAATTGGAAAAAAAAACTCAAAAACTTTTGGTTTAATAAAACCCAATAATTGTGTACATAAGAAACTGAGATGGAAGGTAATTTGTCCAAGGTCACAAGAGGAGTTAAGTGGTAGAATATAAACTCAGAACTAGTATGTTTTCCAACTTTCATTTGAACTCATTATATTTTATCTTCTCTCCATTCTTTAAGAATGTTCATTCATCTGTTTATATATTTATCAAACATCTACTAAGTTCCAGGGACACTAAATCAAGTAAAACATATTCACTGCTCTCCAGGAGATTTTTGTCTAGATATGGAATGAGACACAAAAACAATAATTGCACTGCTTGTATACCTTGTTAAAAAAGGAGGGTAGGGGCAAAAATAACAACTGTTCTTTATTGTGCATTTGCTATCTTCCAGGTGCAATGCTAAATATTTATAAATATTAATTTACCTTAATCTCAAAAGAAACCTCTGAGCTTAGAAGTATGGTTCTTTTTTAAAAATTTTTATTTATTTGACAGACAGAGATCACAAGTAGGCAGAGAGGCAGGCAGAGAGAGAGAGAGAAAGAGAGGCGGGGGGGAAGCAGTCTCCCTGCTGAGCAGAGAGCCCGATTAAGGGCTCTATCCCAGGACCTGGGATCATGACCTGAGTCAAAGGCAGAGGCTTTAACCCACTAAGCCACCAAGTGCCCTGCTAAGTATGGTTCTTATCACCATTTTATAAAACAGAAGACTGAAGTCCAGAAGTGAGGAAGATTAGTTCACTTGGCCCAGGCAAGTAAATCATGGGCATACAAACAGGAAGAATACTTTGGGAACACAAGAAAGGACCGTTAACTGGCCAGCTAAATTGAAGATGGCTTTGCAGAGACATGTAATATTTAAGAGGGGTATAGAAAGATGAAGAGGGAGAAAGGGTGTTAAGAAAGTCTTGGGAGCCTGAAAGAGTGTCGCTTACTCTGGGAAACAAAGAATGAGTTATTGTGGCTAAGATTAGAAGGTAAAACTAAAAAAAAGAGGCAAGTTAGAGCTTGATTGTGAGAGTTGGAATGCCTGGCTTAATTCTGAATTTTATTCTGTGGGTTAATTAGAGATCAGCAAAAGTCTGTATACCAAGAACTAAGACAATCAGATTATTTCACCTGGAAAGATCAATGTGACATCAGTATTATCATGACTCAAAAAGGTGAGAGACCAGACAGCACAGTGGCAGGTAGCTGTCATGGTCCAATAGTCAAACTGAGCATTGATAAGCTAAATGATTGAGTCATACTGCCTCCCTGAAGATTCTACTCATTGCCCCCACTTCTATGCTCTGGAAACATGCAAACCAAATCCAATTACCTTCATTATTATTATTTTTACATCACAAGCCTTTATATATTTGGAGAAATATATCAAGGCCCTTTCTACTCTGAGTTTTAGCTCTTTCTATGGAGGGTTTGGGATCTCAGTGATTCCTAAGGGCTTTCTTAGCTGTGACATCATGTCGCACAAATTCTTTGTGGCCTATAAATCTCTCTTCATCAGCTGGTCTTTTTAGGGATAGTAGCAGTTCCTCTGTCCAGTTTTGATGGAGTTATTTCTTCTTTCCTAGGCATTGACTGCAAATGGTGCCCCATTGGAATACTCTCCAACTCAGGGTTCCTATTTTTCTCTTATTCCATTTCAGCAAAAATCCTCAGAGACATTGGAGAAGGAAATGTGAGGATGCTGGGCATGCAGATCCCTGTAAAGAATATTGAGATACTGGCTTCTGTTTTAATTGGTATGAATGTCATTCTCCTGCTCATCGCTCTGGCTCTTAGTGGTGTGGTCTGGTACCAGTATCGGCAAAGAAAGCTACGACGCAACAGAAGGTCCATCCTGGATGACAGCTTCAAGCTTCTGTCCCTCAAGAAGTAACAGCTGAATCCTGCAATGGTACACCCTCAATGCAGTCCCAGAAGGCCATGTTCTAGTAACTGACCCCACTGTCAAAGGGGCATGGGAGGTAGAGAGACAGAGGATGGAATCAAAATCATCTGGCATTTCTTCACTTATTTATTTACATGGAAGTTATGTACTTTCTCTTTATTTTTTTTTTCTCCACTTGGGCAGCTGGGGAAAGGAATTTCCCTTGTATCCTATATCACAAATTTCAACAGCTGGTATATTTCAACCACTGACACTTGGAAGATCTGGAAATTCCTAATAACTGATTCTTCTTACAAAGTAGATACCAAGGGTAAAACTCATTAAGTTTCTGTTACTTTTCATGGTCTAGGCAAGTTCACTCTGATCCAAGGCTAAGTGAGATGTAAAGATAATCCACTTCTAAACTAAGGACTAAGAAAATAGGCGTGATGAAAAATGGGTGGGGTGGCATTTGAAGATAAAATTTTATTTTGATTTTCCTTAGGAATAAACTATTTTGGGTAGATAGAATATTGTTGCTATGTGTACCTGCAACCCCTGGTGCCAGAAGTTCCTCAGGAAGTTAGTCCTCCAAGTTTCTGGCACAGTTACAATAAAGGCAATGTTGGGTGTCCTTTCCCTATTTTAGGCAACAAGTCCTGTACATTCAAGTACTTGGTGGAAGACTATAAGAGTGAACATGGTGATTTTAATGATCCCTGTGGCCTCTGGGTGTTTGTGACTGTGATGGAAACAAAGAGAACTCACTGGGAGAGTATAATATGGGTTTGATTACCCTGTTTGTGGAGTTTGCATGTTTGTGTTTTGGAAATGAAAAAGCTGTCTTAATCAGTGTTGGGTACCATCTTTTAACCCATAAGTACCAAAATACTTTTGAATTCTAAAAATATTATCCAGAGGGAAATAGGGGGCTGAGACAAGGCTTAAACCTGTCCACTGGACAGGGAGAGGTGATCACAGATCTCATGAACTCCTTTAAAATTGGGGGTATAAGAGGTCTATTTGCAATTTGGGGAGCTTTTTAATAGGAGAAGATCCTTCTCTCTGGTACCTTTGAGCAATATTCTTTTGTCACCTATAAGTTCAAGCCTCTCTGAAACCTTGGTCAGATACCACAGACAAGATATAAAGCATGGATAAGATAAGATGACCTGACCTCACTATAATATCCTTAATACCATTTTACATGACAAGTGGAGAACAGAAGACATAGGCAGAATGAAGATAATAACTGAAATAGGCAGTGCTTTACACTTTACAAATCGCCTAATACCTGATTGTATTTGACTTGTTTTAGTTCTATCAAGGTGATACATTTTTTTATATATGAATAAACAAAAGAGCAGATGGAGTAATTTTACCCAAGGTCATTCAGCTAGAAATTGAGCAAGGATTCGTGTCTTAATTTGTTTGACTCCAAATACCTGGTTTCATTCGGTATATAATAGAAACTTCGATTGACTGCAACTTTTCCTGTCTTCTCAGGCAACCCGTCTGCCTAGATAGGTACCCTTTGCAGATCAAATTTGGAAACCCACAAGACTGGTACTCAGTTGCCATATAACATTGAAGATTGAAGAATAAAACACTGTCTAGAACCTATTATTCATTTTGGCTTACAGTAGTCAGTGGCTTTCTGGAGACCTTCACTGGAAACAACAGATGCATAACAGGGGAAGGAAATGATGGAAAGTTTAAGTTATTGGTTATAAAATCAAATGGTCGAGTATTTAAGCCATTGCTTAATCAATATATTTAACAACAAAACTTTTTGGCCTATTGTTCACGTGGAGATATGGAAAACCCAGTGCACATTGGGGACTCCATAGTTAATAACTATGATTTGCATGCAACTGGGTGGTCATTAGCTTGGTCATGGTCATGAATATGAGACAAGGAGAAGTATGTGGAATAGGGGAACATTTCTTCTGAGTGTGTAACTGTGCTTCAGATCAGGAAATGTAAACCTAAGCCCAAAAGGGATGTTTTTATGGTGGGTTTTCTCCCAGTGGGGATGTAGATGTTTTTGGCAATTAAGTGACATTTCTGTTCACTCAGTTGATCAAGCCAGAAATCCCGGAAGTTAACATATTGGTGACTCTTGTCTCTTTTGTCTCCTAAATTACTATAACTGATTCATTTGTTTCTATTTTTACTACTACCACACCAGTATAAAAAAATCTTTTTTTTAAGATTTTATTTATTTATTTATCAGAGAGAGAGAGAGAGAGCACAAGTAGGCAGAGAGGCAGGCAGAGGCAGAGAGAGAAGCAGGCTCCCCACTGAGCAAGGAGCCTGATGTGGGACTCGATCCCACTACCCTGGGATCATGACCTGAGCCAAAGGCAGTGGCTTAACCAACTGAGCCACCCACGCGCCCCCCCCCCCCAAAAAAATCTTTTACCTGGACTGTACTGGTAGCATCCTGATCACTCTCCTTGCATTGAACCTAGCCCCTTACATTTGGTTCTTCATGAAGAAAAGTGATGTTTTAAAAATATAAGTTAAGGGGGCGCCTGGGTGGCTCAGTGGATTAAAGCCTCTGCCTTTGGCTCAGGTCATGATCTCAGGGTCCTTGGAACGAGCCCCACGTTGGGCTTTCTCCTCAGCAGGGAGCCTCCTTCCCTTCCTGTCTCTCTGCCTGTCTCTCTGCATACTTGTGATCTCTCTCTGTCAAATGAATAAATAAAAAATCTTAAAAAAATATATAAGTTAAGGATGAGGGGCAAGATGGTGGAGAAGTAGGAGACCCTATTTCAACCAGTCTCCTAAAGTAAGCTAAATATCTGGCAGAAAACCAATGAAATCAGCCTGAGATGTAGGATTATACACTGCTGGATCTCTACGGGGGCAGAAGACACCAGTGGAGAGGTAAAGCAGAATGGGAATGCTTGAATGATATTGGATGATAAGCAGAAGTGGGAGGGAGCCACCAGGAGCGACACATTGGAAAGTAATACCCCAATACATAAGTGCACTGTGGTTGGGGAACAGCATTAACTTGGAGTCTGGTTAAAAGCACTCAAAAAGAGCAAAAAATCTTAAGGAGCAGCTGGTAGAATTGGGCTATAAAGGGAACAGGCCTAAGCCCACATTCCCAGGACTGCCACTGCCAGTGACCACCCATGCAGGAGAAAGTACAGTGGAGCCTCCAGTTCCTGGTCCCTGAGCACCTGGCTGTGCACTGCTTGCACCATCACTAGGCTGGACAAGCTCCCACCTGCATGTGAGGGAGTCTTGTGGGTGCTCTCTAGAATCATAGCCTTTTCTGCTCTGAGTGCATTATGCGGCTGGGATCTGACCACACTCCCCACCTATGCCTGAGAAAGCTTGGTGTGGATGCTATCTGGCAGTCTTTAGGACTGGCTGAGAGTCTGGATGCTCCCAGACCACACCTGAAGGAACTCAGTGCAATCTCTGGTCAGGATCCTGTGGCAGCAGCCACACCACTGAGTGCACCAGACGGGTTGTCCTGGTCCCCAGACAGCAGTCCCAATAAAGGCAGCCACCTATAGCGGGCTCCCTGAACCAATATCTTTCCCAGTTTTAGTGGCAAGGGGGTGTAGAGACAAGCAGATGCTTCAGGTGACCCCTGAGACAGTGGCTGGGCATGTGCACCAACTGTGGGAGGTTGTATGGTTCAGCAGAGTTTGCAAAGGGGAGTCTCTGTGTTCTGGACCACCCAGAAGGGAGCAGACTGAGGCTTCTCTCTGAGGCAGAGGTCTGGATGCGGTTTGCTTTCCATTAAACCTCTGAAAAGCCACAAAAAGCCACCAAAAAAACCCACAAAAACCAAACAACAACAACAAAACTACAGAGAACAAAAGCCTGAAGAACTGGTTTCCACAGAACCCAGTCCCTTGATAGGAGCAGGACAACTCAACCCAAGCAAGACTAACTGAAAAACAATGCGACAGGCCCCTCGCCCAAAGGCAGCCGAAAGAATGAGGACAACCACCACAGGGTCCCCATAAAACTGTAAAACCCCAACATCAGGAGAAAACGATATATTAAGCTCCCGGTATTGCCCTAAAACCTGTATATTTCATAGTTACAATTTTTATTTCTAATTCATTCTCATGATTCTTACTCTTTTAATTTCTTTAATCTACCTACCATTACAACTAGAGGTTTAATACAGCATACTCCATAATAACCTTTTAACTTGAACTTTTTTCATACATATAATTGTTTTTCTTTTTCTTTCCTTTTTTTCCTTTTTTCTTTTTAAAAAATACATATAGATATAAGTTTCATGGTAATCCTTTTTCCCTATTCAATACTACTCCTATATACAAACCAGTTTTAATCTCCCTTTATCTCTGAAAAGTTGAGTCTGTTAACAAAGATAACAATATACACCCAGGAAGAACCAAAATGAACTTCCTCACCCACATCGATGATTTATAAACACTCTCCCATCTTTTTCTTCTGTCAGTGTTTCTATGTATTTGCTTTTGTTCTGGTATACATAAATCTTATTCTTGGGGTTCATTCTGACTGGGTTCTTTTTTTTTTTTTGTCATTCACTTTTGTCGGTCTTCTTGTTTATCTGTTTTTGTTTATATACCACATAAATCTTAATTCTGGGGCTCAATCTACCTGGTTTTCTCTCTCTCTCTCTCTCTCTCTCTCTCTCTCTTTTCTTTCTCTTTCTCTCTCTTTTTCTTTTTTCTTTCTTTTTGGTGGGGACTTACAATTGCTTCAAAGCACCTCTCACCAAAATGACTAGGAAGAGGAACACCCAAGAGAGGAAAAAATATGATACTGTGCCCTCTCCCACAGAACTATTTGGATATGGACATAAACAGTATGTCAGAAAGGGAATTCAGGGTAACGATTATCCAGGAAATGGCCAGGTTGGAGAAAACCATTAGTGACAACATAGAATCTTTAAGGGCAGAAGTGAGAGCCACCCAGGCAGAAGTTAGAAATGCTATCAATGAGATCTAATCTAATTTATATACTCTAACAGATAGGGTAACCAA